AGGATCCCTGAATTAAACCTGAATACCTTCTGTCTCCCCCTTCCCCACAGGCGCTGTATATTCCCTACGACTTAGCGATCTCCCGCTAAATATGCAAGCATTCTTTCCAATCGAGTAATTAAGATAAATTAGAAACAGTGTAATATTCTTTAGTGAGACGTATCAAATTTATTAACATAAAGAACATTTCAGTATACATAGGATATACTGACATGTATAAAGTCCCTTAAAGCCTATATTTATGCAGAGAATATCAGGGATAATAAATAACGCAATATAATTTATAATATATAAATATATTTGGGTGGCAGTTCATTTATTTCTTATTGAGAAAGTCCCTCCATTGTAATAATTAACCATTTAATAATCCCAGTGTCCACTTTATTCTTTTATTTGGAATTTTATCGGAGTAATGTTTTAAAAAAGTAAATTGAATTTTCCAATTCGGATAAGTTGAATGATTCTATGGAAGTAGTTTAATACCTTTGGATATAGAGGATCTGGTGGATCACTAACCGGACTTTCTGAAAAGTGTTGTTTTGCTCTCACTTATTTTATTTGCTCATAGATTTTTTTTTTTTTTACGATTTTTACAGCACCAGTTGTTAGGGAAAACCTTTGCTATTTATTTCTATCTTTATTTATTTATTTATTTATTTTGCAATTTCCACAGAGCGTTTTCTATTTTCTGTTTGTTGGTAAATATATCTGGTTGAGATAAAGGTATTTGCTAGCAAGGATAATCTGGTTTATCAGTACATTACTTTAAGCCCTGGGATGATTGTGTGTTTGTGTGTGTGTGTGTGTGTGTGTGTGTGTGTGTGTGTGTGTGTGTGTGTGTGTGTGTGTGTGTGTGTACTCACCTAATTGTGGTTGCAGGGGTCGAGAATCAACTCCTGGCCCCGCCTCTCCCTGCTCCATGAGCTTTATCATACCTCGTCTTAAAACTATGTATGGTTCCTGCCTCCACTACATCACTTCCCAGACTGTTCCACTTCCTGACAATTCTGTGACTGAAGAAATACTTCCTAACATCCCTTTGACTCATCTGAGTCTTCAACTTCAAATTGTAACCCCTTGTTTCTGTGTCCCATCTCTGGAACATCTCCTGTCTCTGTCCACCTTATCTATTCTTCGCAGTATTTTGTATGTCGTTATCATGTCTCCCCTGACCCCTGTCCTCTAGTGTCGTCAGGCAGACTTCCCTTAACATTTTTTCATAGGACATTCCCCTTAGCTCTGGAAGTAACCTTGTTGCAAACCTTTGCACTTTCTCTAATTTCTTAACGTGCTTGACCTGGTGTGGGTTCCAAACTGGTGCTGCATACTCCAGTATGGGCCTGACGTACACAGTGTACAGAATCTTGAACGATTCCTTACCGAGGTATCGAAACTCTATTCTCAGGTTTGCAGGTGCCAGTATGCTGCAGCAGTGATCTGGTTGATATGTGCTTACGGGGATGTGCTCTGTATTATATTCACCCTAAGATCTTTCTCCTTGAGTGAGGTTTGCAGTCTTTGGCAGCCTAGCCTATACTCTGTCTGCGGTCTTCTTTGCCCTTCCCCGATCTTCATGACTGTACATTTGGAGGGGTTAAATTCGAGGAGCCAGTTGCTGGACCACGCGTCTAGCCTGTCTAAATCTCTTGTAGTTCTGCCTGATCCTCATCTGATTTGATGAGGATCAGGCAGGAGTGGGGTGTTTTGTGTGTGTGTGTGTGTGTGTGTGGTGTTTTGTGTGTGTGTGTGTGTGTGTGTGTGTGTGTTTTGTTCTTGTCTGTACGTGTTGCAGTTTTGTATTTTGAAAATGAATGAACAGAAGGTTGATCCCCGATCCACCCTGGTCCACGCTGGCCCACCCTGGCCCCCCCCGGTCCCCCCGGCCCGTGGCACCCTGTCCACCTGCCAACCCTTGTTTGATTACACAATTTGAGTTTGTGTTGTTGTGTGTATTTTTGATTTGTGGTGGTTGGGGGGGGCGCCGACAAATTGCGGGTTAAAAAAGGAGGAATTTTGAATAAACAGAATTTTTATCCCGCGGTCCCTCCTGCCAGGGCCCACCGGCCCAGGGAGCGGGAACACCCCCAAAAGGGGGGCCACCCGGTAAAACCAATATGGGAAAGGGGAAGTACCCAACCCGTAAGGGAAATTGAAAGAAGAATCCCCTAGCGAACTCCTTAAAAAAAGGAAACAATTCTGTAAAATTTTTTTAATACTAAACTTTACCCTCCCAGGGGGAAGGCCCCGGGAAAAAGGAAGGGAATGAACACCCAACCGGCCCACCTCCCTTAGGGAAAACCGCCAATTCGCAACTCTTTTTAAATGAAAATAGAGAAAAATGAGTAAAAACCCTTGGGCAAATTTTAAATTTTTTAAATTTCCCACAATCCCACTGTCCCCTTTCAGGTGAGAAAAAGGGGAAATTTTATTTCGAAAACCCCCACATAAAAATTCCAAAATTTGTTTTTTTATTACCAAATTTTTGGATTAAAATAAAAAATAATAACGGCCTTTATTATCTGGTTTATTTTACGCCCAAGCGAATTTACAATTGAAATTTTTCGAAATCGGTAAACATTTTTATTTGTAAACAGGCTATTTTTTTATCTATCCCGGGCGCTTTCTTTCTTTTTTTTAAACCCTTTGAGGGAATTCTTTTAATCACCCCTCTATGAACATTGAAATTTTTACTTGTGGACCCTTCCAAGTCTTTTTTTATTCTTTATATCTTTTCTTCTTCTTTTTAATCTTCCTCTTCTCTCTCTTCTTTCCTCTTTTTTATTCTTTTCTTTCTCTCTCTCTCTCTCTTTCTCTCTTTCTCTCTTTCTCTCTCTCTTTCTTTCTCTCTCTTTCTCTTTCTCTTTCTCCCTTCTCTCTCTCCCTTTCTCTCTTTCTCTCTCCTTTCTCTCTTCCTCTCTCTCTCTCTCCTTCTCTCTCTCTCTCTCTCTCTTCTCTCTCTTCTCTCTCTCTTCTCTCTCTCTCTTTCTCTCTCTTTCTCTCTTTTTCTCTTTCTCTCTCTTTCTCTTTCTCTTCTCTTTCTCTTTCTCTTTCTCTCTCTCTTTCTCTTCTTCTCTCTCTCTCTTTCTCTCTTTCTCTCTTTCCTTTCTCTCTCTTTCTCTTTCTCTCTTTTCCTCTTTTCCCTTTCTCTCTCTCTTTCTCTCTCCCTTTTCTCTCTCTTTCTCTCTCCTCTCTCTCTCCCCCCCACACACACACACACACACACACACACACACACACACCACAGGACCAGGCAGGACTTCAAAGAGACCTGGACAGACTGGACACCTGGTCCAGCAAATGGCTTCTCGAATTTAATCCTGCCAAATGCAAAGTCATGAAGATGGGGGAGGGACAGAAGACCACGACAGAGTATAGGCTAGGTGGCCAAAAGGACTGCAAACCTCACTCAAGGAGAAAGATCTTGGGGTGAGTATAACACCGAGCATGTCTCCGGAAGCACACATCAATCAGATAACTGCTGCAGCTATGGGCGCCTGGCAAACCTGAGAACAGCATTCCGATACCTTAGTAAGGAATCATTCAAGACACTGTACACCGTGTATGTCAGGCCCATACTGGAGTATGCAGCACCTTTTTGGGAACCCGCACTTGATAAAGCACGTCAAGAAAACTAGAGAAGTACAAAGGGTTTTGCGGCAAGGTTTAGTTCCAGAGCTAAGGGGAATGTCCTATGAGGAAAGATTAAGGGAAATCGGCCTGCCCCACCTGGAGGGACAGGAGGGTCAGGGGAGACATGATAACGACATTTTAAAATACTGCGTGGAATAGACAAGGTGGACAAGACAGGATGTTCCAGAGAGGGGACACAGACACAAGAGGTCACAATTGGAAGTTGAAGACTCAGATGAATCGAAGGGATGTTAGGAAGTATTTCTTCAGTCATAGAGTAGTCAAGTCATGGAATAGTCTAGAAAGTGAAGTAGTGGAGGCGGGAACCATACATAGTTTTAAGGCGAGGTATGATAAAGCTCATGTAGCAGGGAGAGAGAGGACCTAGTAGCAATCAGTGAAGAGGCGGGGCCAGGAGCTATGACTCGACCCCTGCAACCACAAATAGGTGAGTACAAATAGGTGAGTACACACACAAGATTAAGATTAACACTAATTACTTAACAGCTAATAGGAAAAAATTAAAACTGACGTCTAATGGTCATGTTCATTTTTTTAATATAATTAAAAGAAATAGCATGCTCACTCTTCAAAAATTTTTTATGTCGTTTCCACGATCAAAACAGATAATTGAGTACACATTAGCTTAAGAGAATCCTTCATGTACCTAGTTTACATATAATTCCTTGCAAAAACTGCAAGCAATCATACACTGGCCAAACCATACCACGGGCGGGGATAGAACCCGCGATCAGAGAGTCTCAAAACTCCAGACCGTCACGTTAGCCACTAGACCAGCTAGCCACAATAAGATTCATCCAACTAGGTATATTTCTACACCATAGGAAGGTTAGCATAGGCACCACTGTGGCCACAGATGCCCGTGGTATGGTATGGATTGTTTGCTATCGTGTCATTACGATTTCGTGAGTTATACATTGGCCAAGCAGGAAAAATTTTAAACACTTGAGTAATTTTGCCTGAGAAATGGTTCAGATATGCACGAGGCTGTACAGGTGTTCTCCTGTACACAGTTCGCACAAACATATGGTACACAATAATTAGTCACAGTAACGTAATTCATCAAAACGAGAACTCGAAATTTAAAGGAACCTGATGACGTTACGGTCTGTCCTGGATCATTGTCACATTACGACTAACTTGATAATAGTCCAAGAAGAGCCGAAATACTGTCAAAAGGTTTCTCCTCTAAGTATGGCATTTAGATGCATATCGTACAATAATGTTTATTAATATATTATTTGATCAGATATATACGATACTGTTTATATTTTTCCAATGAGGGAGAAATACCTTGTATATATCCCTTGCTAAGCAAAAACTCTGAGACACCCTTGTTTCTTACACAGGTACCCAACCCATCCTCCGGGCTGATGGACTATGCCACCAGCATGCGGCCTGAATACCACCAGGCTATCATTGACCTCATCCACCACTACCGCTGGGACCATGTCATATATCTCTACGACTCCCACGACGGTGAGTACAAACCCATATCTGTAGGCGCTGAGTACACATCGTTCTAGGGACAAGATGAACAACCCCCCTTTATCTGTAGGCGGTGAGTACACATCGTTCTAGGGACAGGATGAATAACCCCCATTAACTGGAGGCTCTGAAGACACATTCTAAGGACAAGATGAATACAGAATATGTCGTCGAATTAACAACAGAGCACATGTTTGTATCCCGTATTACACCGTTGTTTACAGAACCTCTACAATTAGTCCAACCCTTTGAAAGTCTCTGAAGTGGACATCAGTGGAATCGTATTTGTAACCGGAACTGTTTGTGTCATGATTAGAGAACTATAGCTCGCCTGATCTTTGTTAGTTTAGTCTGTTATGCAGAGTGGAATGATTCTTGTCTTTATTAAAGCCTTCATCTTACTCTTCACAGAGCTTTACCAGGTCAAGACTTGATAAAGCCCAACACGAAATAAAACGTCATTTATAACTATGGTTTACGGTATACCAAGTCTCTGCTGTACTTGTCGGTAAATAACCACTATTGTACATGTCTGTTACCATGACGCACTATGCGGTTGAGGACATTTTACTGAGAAAACGCTTCGCCCTTCATCAACTCGACTCACGAAATCGTAATGACACGATTGCAAACAAACCATACCACAAGTGGGGTAGAACCCGCTATCAGAGAGTCAGAAAACTCCAGACCAGTGGCTAACGTCTGGAGTTTTATGACTCTCTGATCGCGGGTTCTAACCCCCTTCCCTGGTAAGGTTTGTCTTAGTAACATTCTTGTCGATACACAATATCACTGATAAACAAACATATCGTTTGGACATATTAAGATCAGGATTGTTTTTCTTTGAGTAACACTGAAGCTATCAAGGCTGTTAACATTGCCAGATGTATTCTTTATTACTATTGCCATATGGAGAATGCCCAAAGGACCTTTTAACAGGACTCGTTTGACCGTGACGACCAAGAAATAGGGAAAGGGAGAAAGAGAAAGATGGAGAGGGGACAGAAGGTATATGTGATGAGAAGGAATGTGAGGAGGGTAAGAGTTAAATAAGAGAGTAACTGGAAAGTTGATAACTAGGAGAATGGAAGCGAGAGAAGGAGTGTAAAACCAAAAAGAATAACAAAGTTGTGTTGGGGGAAGAGGGAAAGAAAGGATGATGGTAAAGGAAGGCACAAGGAAGAAGGAGATGTATACAAGAGAGAGAGAGGCACAAAGAAAATATAATAACCATGGAAAGGAACACTGGAAGAAGTATTTGAGTATATATGTGTATATAAAAGGGGAGACAGAAAGGTAAATGCAGGTTGTATGTTGAAAAGCAAGCAAGAGCAGCCTGTGTGTACTCGCATACTTGTGGTTGCGGGGGTTGTCATAGCTCCTGGCCCCGCCTCTTCACTGGTCGCTACTAGGTCCTCTCCCTGCTCCAAGAGCTTTATCATACCTCTTAAAGCTATGTATGGATCTTGCCACCAGTACATCATTGTGTGTGTGTATGTATGTATGTGTGTGTGTGTGTGTGTGTGTGTGTGTGTGTGTGTGTGTGTGTGTGTGAATGTATTTGGGTTGTCACTGACTTGGCTCTCTCTTTATTATCATTGTTAACGAAGAGCTTCCGCGTGTTCTCTCGAGATGACCAAACTTTTAAGTAGAGTTTTCACGAGACGACAAAAGTTTAAACAATGTTTTCTGAAAATGATAAACGATTTTGTAAGAGCTTTCAAGAGGTGATGCAGGCCTTTAGGTCTTAAGTAGAGTTTTAAAGTGATAAAAGTCTTGATGTAGGCACAGATTACAGCTCCTTACTTCTACGATCTCAGGTAATACAAGTTTTAGAAGTTGTTTTCGCAGAATCGGCAGATTATAAGTATGCTTTCACAACATGGAAGTTGCCTCGTGTAAACTTTTTAGTTCTGTGATATTCGGAAAAATTTCTTTTTAGAAGTTGTAACTCAATAAATGTGACTAGATTCTTCTTGCTCCTGTATTTAAACGCTACTACGAAGTTATTGGCTAACGCTTACTGAGGCATAACTTCCATTGATATGTGAAGGCATAATATTCAAAACAAAATGTAATTGGACGACGTTTCGCTCATGGGAGAGCTTGTGTCTTTACCCTAAGAGAAATTTTGTCTCAATCCATGAATGTTCTGCAAGTATAATCTCAAAACTGTTGTAGCATCTCAGTCTTCGTAGGTCCCGGAGCTATGTAGCAGCCTCAGAACTTTTTCATGCTTTTTTGTATGCTTATTGAGATGAGGGTTCCATGCTGATGTCTCGTACTCGTGTACTGATCTTGTGTATGATGTGCGCAGTTATGTGAATGCCTCTTCGTTCAGAGTCCTGAAGGCTGTCAGTAAGTGAGATTGAATCAACAAACTCATTCTTGTGAAGAAGGCTTCAAGAATATGAAAGAACATTAAGCTTCATATAGATACTACAGACTGGAAGACTTTTTCGGAATGTATCGCAGGGTTACCTGTTGGGACCTCGGAGGAATATTAGAGGATTCTTTGACGAATAAATCATATTTACAACACCTAGGAATCTTTATAAACGTATAGTCCATCGTGAATTTATCATTCTGATCGATAAAGATTAATAAATCCTCTGGTGGGTGAAACGTCTCTCAATGAAAATACAGGTGTTATACATGTCTTATTCATCAACTTATCTGTATTTGTTGCCTTTCATGCGAAGGGAATTTTTTAATTACTGACATGATTTGCATAAATTTATGTTTGGTATTTTCACTATTGTTAGTCTGCTTATAAGGGAGCAAATTGACTTTTGTGTCCGTCAGGTCATTATAACCCAACCACTAGTGTCGTCACCGGAAGAACAGCAGTAGTAGTAGTAGTAGTAATAGTAGTAGTAGTAGTAATAATAGACACCGCTAGACTGTGATCTATGTATGGCAATTTAGTGCGGTAAAAATAGTTTTGAAAACCGATAAGTTGAAGAATAAGACAAACTATACCCCCGGCCGGGATTGAACCCGCGGTCATGGAGTCTCAAAACTCCAGCCCGTCGCGTTAGCCACTAGACCAACTAGCCACAATAAGATTCATCCAACTAGGTATATTTCTACACCATAGGAAAGTTAGCACAGGCACCTCTGTGACCACAAATGCAAGTTTTTACAGCTGGAGATTCGTCTGTAAAAACTTGCATTTGTGGTCACAGAGGTGCCTGTGCTAACTTTCCTATGGTGTAGAAATATACCTAGTTGGATGAATCTTATTGTGGCTAGCTGGTCTAGTGGCTAACGCGACGGGCTGGAGTTTTGAGACTCTATGACCGCGGGTTCAATCCCGGCCGGGGGTATGGTTTATTTGCAATCGTGTCATTACGATTTCTTGAGTCAAGAATAAGACACCTGTGCAACAGCTGGGTATCTTAATTGTTGAAACATGTTACGTACATAATAGGCTGCTTTAGTCCAATACAAATGAGCATGAGTGAGAAGGATTGTATTCCAGAGAGACCTACCTTCTTCTACTAGTGAATCCAGCCCCCTTCATTGTCTTCGAGATCTTCCACCTCACCTTCGACAGTATTTAATACTTCGTTCTCATGTTTCACTTTCATATCGTTCCCGACCATGAAGCTGGACTCGTCTCCAGGCTGAGGGACTGACTATCTCAAATACTATTTCTCCAAGGTTGATGGACTGATTACATTTTTATTTCACTACTATACCCATTGCCTTCGTATTTGACTGAAGAGGCCTACTGTGTAGACGAAACGCTTCAAGAATAAAGATACCTAACTGTTACGTATGTGCCTTAATTATCGAAACTGTTATTGCACAGAGCGTTGAATAACCTTTCGCCAATAACAGTGTGTACATTACAAAAGTTCCTACCTAAGTACTGCTCCAGGGAGAGCCTAACTACATACGTTCGTGGAACGTCTTTCCCGTAGCACTGTCGAGTTCGTTCATGCTATGTCAGATGAACGATTCGCTTCGCTAATCCGTCCCGCCCCCTCCTGCCGGTAGTAACACATTTCTTATGGTGCTAGTCAAAGATATTCGATAAATCTGGTTAATGCTAAGTAATGGCGGCCATCACCACAGTCATTCTCGTCATGGGAAAACCTTCTTTCATGTGTCGATGTGATAGAAGACCAGCAGTTGGAGAAGTCGTATCATGTGGATTCAGTTTATCTCGTTCTCTCTTCTAAGTGTGAGTGTCTCTTTCTGACTGTCTTTCTCTCTCTCTCTCTCTCTCTCTCTCTGTCAGTATGGAAAGGTATAAGTAACAGGTCGATCGGTCTTGATGCCATCTTCATTGTTACCAAAAGCAATCCACCCCCCCCCCCCCCTCCCCAACCAACATCTGCTATACTGAGATCTTCTCCGTAAAAAAAAAATAAAGCATCTTTGAAGTGATTTGTTCACAAATTATTACAGTTAACTAAGAATAAACCTCGCTTAAACAACGCAAATTTTTCCTGACAGGTTCAACGTTTTAAGCGATAGGATTAAACTCCCCGATTTTACCTACTCCCCGTCTAATTCTGGTTACACATATTTGCCTCAGAGTTGAGATAGTCATAAATAATACAGCAGTGTGTTACTCTCCAACAGTTATTTTAATATCAAAATATGCAAATATTGCCCATAATAAACCAATGGAAAAAATTGTTCTTTTGGTCATCACGTCGGAGTGGTAGACAGAATCCAGGTTGGACGACAATTCTGGCATAGAGAATGAAATGGTAAGGAGCGATTGGGGCAGTGTGAAGCAGCAGAACAGTGTGTTAGCAGAAGAGACAGTAACAGAGACAGACCAGGAGTGTCCTGTGATTGCAGCACAACAGTGCTAGCAAGCGGGAATATGAGTGTTTAGCAGGAGAGACAGTTAGCAGAGACACACAACAGGGAGTGTCTGTGAGTGAAGCAGCAACAGTGATAGCGACGGGAACTTTGGCAATCAGCAGCAGGAACAGTGGCAGTGAAAAACAAGGTCAGTGATACAGCAA